GACTCGGAAACATCGCCGGTTTGCCGCGAACTCAACGAACTGGGCTGAACTTGATGCATTGCTCTCCGAAATCCAGCGTCCTCTCAAGAGCGAATATGAATATGATGAATAGATCTGCTGTTTCTCACAGCATTCCATGATTTCGCTTGGACCTCGGCCCCTTTATCCGATACAACGTCGCATCCCGCTGCAGGCCGAGATTTTATTTTCCAGTTATCTTTCTTCTGCACGTTGCGATTCTTATTTCCGTCATGCCTGATTCGAATCTTCGCCTGATTCGGATCTCAAAACCTCGCATAAACATACCCTCGGCATCGACACATATGCATGGTGGCGTTTTCTTTTTTATTTTTTACTCTCTTCTTTTGATTTACCATGCATCGGCAGTACCAGTAACCAGTCTCTCACTGATGGTCTGGTCTGCTTGCCTTGACCTCGATGGAGGTCGTCCACTCCTTTACAGCCTTTCCACTTTCTTCGAATGTATTGAATATCCGATTTTAAACCAGCATCGCATCACCTTCGAAATCGTGAGCCGACCTCCATCAACCCAATTTTGGATACTTGCATTCCTCGTGTTGTACTAAGAACAACTCATCGTCGACCCTGCTTGTCACACATGCAATCAGCTTGTGCTTTACGGTCTTTAATTGTGGCCGGTTGCGATATACCGAAGGTATAATGAACGATTTAGCATGGACTCAAAAGGTTCCTAACCTTGCATTGCACTCCGTTCTAACACATCATTATCCCCCCTTTTGGTCCCACGGGGCCATATTTTCTATCAACAGCTTTTCCTTGTGTCTTTTCACCGGTGGTGTCCTGTTTCCCGATGGCTGGGGCTTGTTACCCAGCGCAGGCGGCCGGGTCTCATTCAGAGACTTTTCCTTTCTCGTGACATTACTTACCTGAATACGCATTTATTCGACTCGATGATCTGTATGCAGTTTGTATCGTGCTAATTGAATTGTCTGCTATTAATTAAATTCTGAACTACATGTAAACAGACATCAGCCCATAGAAGTAGAAAGTACTCTGTGCAGCACCCCTCACTTAGCCCAATGCGGTAATCACCTCGGCGAGACGTAAACTGCAGGCGGTGACATCAAAGCCAGGCGGTGAGAATAAAGGAAAATGCATCCTCAAGCTTCCAAAGCCGCTGTCAACATAATAAAAGCTTGATATCGAGTATTCCTTTCATAAAGAGACATTTATTACACTTACGTATATCCATAAGCACCAAACCCAAGTGAACGCATCGTTCCTGAATCCGATGGCCAGCATAACGGCCCCGCAAATCTCGGTACTTCGGCCCCGTAATTAGCGGCAGTAAATAAGATCTTCACCTTCTGGAATTTTTGATGCTCCCATCTACGCCGCATAACCCAGCACGTTAGTCCGGACAGAAGGATATCTGAACATACAAAGCCGACAGCTCCGGATATATTCCTCATATACGAACCCACAGTCTCTTCGCTTTTTTCCCTCTCGCGCGACCTGAATTGGAAAGCTTCAGTTCGCCGCTGAGGTCATCGCCATTCCTTTGTTATCGCCACTTCGACAGCTCGGACGGGATACAACTATTGCATATAACATTTGATACTGAGGACTATTGAGGTCTATACTTACTGGGCATACACAGTCTCGGTATTTTGACACCGTGCATCGTAAGGTGCATTGCGCCACTGCTTTTTCATAATCACACCACACAATGGCCGCGCCAGGCTCTGCGCTGCGGCGCACAGCACTTGTTTCTTCGTCGCTGCTGAGGACGAGAGTGATCCCCGCTACCGCTATCCGAACACAAGCCACACACACCCTTCTCGGTTCCCGTTGTCCTGTCCTGTCTTCCCACGTACCGACCCCACACCCCCTCTCCCAAACCCGACATAGTTCCTACTCCGCACCAACACCCAGCGAGAATGGGAAGGCGCGGAAGAAGGTTACTATCCAGACGCTACGGAACATGTATAAAAAGGGAGAACCGATCACGATGCTCACGGCACATGATTTCCCCAGTGCTCATGTGGCCGATGCGTCAGGGATGGATATGGTCTTGGTAGGGGATAGTTTAGGGATGGTAGCTCTTGGACTGGAAAATACGACGGAGGTCATTATGGAAGAGATGATTCTGCATTGTCGAAGTGTAGCGCGGGCAACGAAAGCCGCTTTCATTGTGAGTTGTCGGGATTCCTTGACCGGCAAGCGCCATAGTGTCACTGACTAACAAGCATATTCCAATTTTAGATTGGAGATCTACCGATGGGGTCATATGAAGTATGTGCGGAACAAGCCATTGAGTCATCTCTGCGCCTGATCAAGGAAGGCCGCGTACACGGCGTCAAGCTCGAAGGTGGTCAGGAACTCGCGCCCACAATCAAGCGCATCACACAAGCCGGTGTTCCGGTAGTAGGCCATGTCGGTCTCACGCCACAGCGTCAGAATGCCCTCGGCGGCTTCCGCGTGCAAGGCAAGACGGCTCTCAGTGCGGTGAAGCTGCTGCGCGATGCACTCGCGATGCAAGAGGCTGGCGCGTTCATGCTTGTGCTCGAGGCGATGCCGTCGGAGGTTGCATCGATCATCACGCAGAAGCTGCGGATCCCAACTATCGGCATTGGTGCCGGGAACGGTTGCTCCGGACAGGTTCTGGTGCAGGTTGACATGACTGGGAATTTCCAGCCTGGTCGGTTCGTGCCGAAGTTTGTTAAGCAGTATGCAGATATTTGGGATGAAGCTGCGCGTGGTATTTCGCTGTATCGCGATGAGGTTAAGAGTCGAGCGTTTCCCTCAGAGGAATACACGTATCCGATTGCGAAGGATGAGCTCGCTGGGTTCCAGAAAACGGTGGATGAGGTCTTCCGGGAAGCATGATGTGTCTGGTTGCCATCTTTTCTTTTTTATGACCATTTCTTGCATGTTCTGTATTAAGCATTGTCATCATCATTTGTACATAGCATCATTCAGCATTTGCGCTGGTAGTTCATAGCCTGCTTAGCCGAATGCTGGCGTCATTGAATAAGCGACGATCAATTGGTCGTCCGTCTTAAAACACTATTATGAAGTTAGCATTCAAATTGTCAAATGTGCAGACATAGTAAAATCGAGTTGACGCTCACCCTCCATAGTCCACCCATGCCTTCATCTAACCCGGGCGCAAACACACTATTAACATAACAAAAGACAGAATCTGTCTCTTTGCAGTCGAGCTTCTTACGTAGGAACTTGACAACCGTTTCGAATTTCTGCGAAGCGCTAACCTTGAACACGCGGTTTTTCAGAATCGGCGCTGACGGCAGAGGTTGGAAGCGAACGGTAACTGAATCATCGTTAGTTGAATTCTACCATCTGTTGACATCGTGGTCGTCCAATCAACCCAAAGCTCGTCGGAAAAGGCGGGGTGTTACCTTTCCCCGAATCAATACTCTCCACGTCGGCGAGTGCCTGGTGTGCATCACGAGGTAAATTGGTCAGCATGACCGATGCAGACATATTCATCGGTAGATCGGCGCCATGATCGTCATCTGGAATCGGGGCATTTGCGGAGCTGTTTGGTGGTGTGCCTGAGCTCTGGGGTTGGCGCGGGTTTGGACGATGGCTGAGTGTGCTTTGGGGAATTGGAGTTGAGGGGCTCTGTGGGGAGCGTGTTGGAGAAGTTGGATTCATTGTGTTAGGTACAAAGAGAGGAAAGAGAGGAAAGAGAAGGGAGTAGATAGGATGGAGTAGGTGGAAGTTGGGAGTTGAAGGTGGGGGGATCTTTAACGCGCTTAGAGTTTGGCGTTTGGCGTTTGGCCCGATCTACTCGATTATAAACACGGGCTATGCAACCTTTTAGGTGTCGGTATAAAACATATGAATTTCAATGATTACAGCACAGCGTTAAGCTATCAAGTTGACGAAGGATAAGGGTCCAGCAAAATGAGCGATCTACATTTATTGTCAGAATGTACCCAACTAGTTACAAGTTACATAGTATGGCCTGACATCATATTGTAGGCTCATACCTCTGTGCAAATCTCTTCCTATGTAGTCTACAAAGGAATTTCCTACACGGAAGATCTTCATATTAACATCCATGCATGGATTATTAGTCTATCAAATGTTTGATAAATTCATATTTCCCTTCTATTCTTGTCATTGTCCGGTAAGTTTACCCTCTTTTCTAACCTCTTTTTTAGCATCTTTTTTTGGCCTCTGTCGTTTTTTTTTAGGAGAAATGTCCGCCCACCCGTCATCAGCAAGCCCATTCGTCTGGCCAAAGAAAGGGTGGCACAGTGATGAATAGCGTTGCGACCAATCTAATATAGATGGTCGTAGTCTACTTTTCGGCCCTCAGCGGCATCACTTCTTTTGGCTATTGCAGCGGTTGTTTGACCGGTATGTCCCTTGGTTGCCGTGCGCCGTGTAGGAGTAACATGTTGACCTATGATGTAGCTGGCTTCCTAGTGCGGACGTGTTTCTGCGCACGAGTCGTGTTCTATTTCGGCTACGTTGAACTGCGGCGGACCGTGAGGTTTGGGAAGGGACCCCATCTTATACCTCTGTTATTGGGCTTAAGATGTGTATAAAACCCACAGCTCTACCCGAACGAATACGTCTATCGGGAAATGCCGCCGATGGCTTCTTCAACTCTAAGCGGGTGAGCTATATGTAAACTTGATCTTCAAATAACACCCGAGAAGATAAACTGAGCGGTGCCAGTGATCAACATTTAGAAAAAGGAGATCCCGCGTTATATTAAGACTATAAATGAGAAAATCATCTAGCGGAACTATTAAATCAAGTAGAGTGCTCTAGTTACACATACGTTCATACATCGTGCCGTATCGCGTACGTACTAAAACGGAAAGTGTATACGGCGTCAACAATCTGATATGTCCACGCGGACAGGAATAATCCTTTCAGCAATCTCGGTCAGAGAATTACAAGTAAACCAAGGACTCCATCTTCACTTCTCCCTCGAGCCAACTACTCTCTTTCACTCCTTTATCACCCGAAAAACCATGGCGCCTGTCTATCACGGCCAGTGGGCTTTCAACGGCTACACACTCTACATCACTACCTCTTCCGGCGAGACCCACCCTCGTGCAACGTATGCCGAGCTGGAAGACATTTTCATTGCACCAATAGGGTACAGAACCAACATACCCGACTATCAAGATCACTGGTACGAAGCACAAATTCTCCATTACGGACTGGCGCCGACGAAAAACAAAGCCGTAGCCAAGATGAGATTAATGGATGCCTTTCAAGATGGAACACTAGAAATTCCAATGGAAATACTCCGGATCGAAGCAACCCTGCGAAAGAACTGGATCAAACAAGACCTAGACTCCCATCTCCAAGGTCCTGCGATACAACCTTCACCTGCACTCGCTCCTGCCATTGCGGAAACTATGGAGATTGACACGACTGACGCTGACGCCACTCAGAAACCGGAGGGGGGAGAGGAGGGAAATGTGTTCGGTGCTGGCTTGGCTGGAGGAGCTGGTATGCAAGGCAATATGCGATCCCAACAAGACAAGATGCAACCACCCCACGCTCACCCGAAGCGAAAGAACAGTAACAATTCAGAGCTGTCGATCCGCCCTCTGAAGACTGCCAGATATCGTGGTGAAACTGGTGGATCGGACTTGCAGGTCCAGATTGATGACAACACTGCCGGTGAGACCTTTCTCCAGGGATCAACTATTACTCCAGTGTCGGTGGGAAACAGCTGCGGACGCCCGGGTCCGGACAGAGAATTGCTGCCAATTGAATATCAAACCGTGCCTCTATCGCACCAGACTACCGACGGAATGGTAAGCATGTCTTTCCCTGCACAAGAAACAAGCATCTCTGACCAAAACACAAAGGGAACACAACTTCTTCCTCCCGGACTAATGGGCGCCGACGGTGCGAGCGATCATTGTGACTACGGCTACAACCCAGCGACGAACTCGAAGCAACCTTCTCTCGTGGTTGGGTGGAGTTTCAAGAACAGAGATTCATTGGCCAAGGCATGAGTGAACTTCAGAACTTGAATCGGCTGAGACAGAAGTGAAATAAGTTGAGAACATGGGGATGTACGCAAGCAAGTGTTACTCGTGGGGTGGGTGAGGATTCGTGAAATGTTTGGAATCCAAATTGATTCAAAGGAATTTGATGGCTTGTCAGTTTATGTTTATGTATCAATCAGTACATGGCTATGAAGTCTCAATTGCAAACTCAGACTCTTTCTCCTTAGTTTTCAAGAGGCTGCCTCTCTGCACATCAACAATCGAAAATTGAAAAGGTGCATCAACAAGCCCGGTTGACTTTTCCCATTGCGGATCCAGATACCATGGCTTGATCAGCAAGACCTCGAAGACTGTGGGTTGTTGAATCTGATGCAGCGATATAAGCCAATCATCCAGACGGTTTGTGACGTGAGGATACAAATGAATGGTCAAGGTCTTCAGGCCAGGCAGCTTCGTAGCGAGAACCTGGCAACATCTATTCCAGCTCGGACCACCAGGATCCGGAAAGCTGAGCTGCAAAGTGCGAATCAGGCTTATGCGATGTGGTAGAAGTGTATGCGAAAAATCAATGATTGTATCTGTGTGATTAAAGAGGAAAGTGTTCTTTTGAAAGATGATATCAATGGCCTCGGAGTATCTGGTACACTGTTAGTTGGTTATATTTGAACATAGATGGAAGTATATGTACTCACACCCTTCGACACGTTTGTAAAAGCGGCACAGAGTTGACTCTTCTCGTGTCAAATCTCCACTCGGAGCCTTCGTGGTAATATGACTCACAGTTCATGTGTGTGATGCAATTTCCCGCAGGCCGACGAGCAAGCGGTCCCCAACAGTGATGACTACATGGACAGAAATTGCGAGGTTCGCTGCATAAAACCCCGACAATTTGCTTCTGGAGTCGTTTCCATTTGTACTGGTTTGATCGAACAATATGCAGCCTACGGCTACAGAGATAGTGTTCCCAGATAAGAAGGCGGACTTCGGTAGGTAGACATTCGAATAGAGGAGACTGGGTTTGTTGGAAGGTACATTGTTTCTCGCGTCGTCTTGAAAGCTTTGAAAGTGATAATCGCCATCCATGACTAGTTGGCTGGATTTGAGGTTTGAGATGTGTATTGTCCGGAAGTGGCAGAGTGAGTGACCTGGGGCGGGGGGTTTGGGGTGAAGCTTTTCAGCTCGTTATTTGGAATTTGGGGTTTCTTTGCCAACGTGAGTTTCTTCCCATCTGACTCGTCGCCTAGGTTTAGAGGTAACATTTTTGAAATTGATAGAAAGCAAAGCTCAAGGTCGGCAGGATGTTGGATGTTTCAATGATATATTGGCTAAACGCGCTAGTGTTACACGTAGCACGTTTGGTAAGGCTGAGCTTGTACTACCAAACAGCTTTTAGCTTGGGGGCCAAGAGCCAAACAATATGAACAAAGCAGACAGAAGCTGGAAAAACCATCGTAAAATAAAACAAATGAGTTGCCGCCCAAAGGTAAAACATATAGTACGGAGCCTGTAGAAGTTTGCATTTGAGTAACGAGTATATATGCTTTGGCATCTATATTTTGTTGTATGGAGGTATTGATTGCTTAGGCTCTTTTTCCCTTATAGTCTTTCGGGATTTTATTCCTTTGTCCCCATGAAGCTATATAGATGACCTATGGCAGAGAATGCTTTCCACCCTGATATTTATCGATCACTTGCTCTCTCTCCACACGTAGATAGTACGTGTATCATATTTGTATCATACTTGTACGTCCCTCCCAAGTGTTGTTGAATAATATACTATGTAGTACTCTAAACAGCATGTGAAATCTGGGATGATGGAATCTTTCACAAAGTATATAACCGGAGTCAAAATGTAAAACTGTTTTATGTCTTCATAGTTACCTGATCCCGGGCCCAAGGCCCAACTTTTAAGGCGCAACCCAACCCAGAGCCCATTATTACGCATAACTCGGTCTTGGCATACATGAAATAGCTGATTAATAAGTGTTTTCTTACGTATGTTCTAGCTTATATATACTCTCGGCGACGACGATGATGATGCTGTTACTATACCGCAACCACTGAGTGCTAATCCTCAGTAGCGTATATTAGGGAGGAAGAGGAAGCATATTACGGATGAAATGTATAAGCATTATTAGTATAGAATATATATCAACTATCACTTGATTACGGAGTATATGCCATGACCTTAGCGATCTTATCCAGCTAAGATCTCTCTATTGCTACAGTCTCTAGGGATCAGCATCTGTTTCCCTTTCTAGATCACCACATAACCCACAACTTGGGGCTTAATCGGTAATTAGAATATCTAAAATTATTCGGAAAATTTGCATTGACATCACTAATCTCGATTCCATTAGGAGTTCTGAATTCTTGGCAACCAAGAATTGTCGTATGTATGAAGTGGCGTATGTATGAAGTGACGTATGCATGAAATCAATCAGGGTTTAGCGTTGAACAGATCCAAAGGCATATTAATTATGACAAATTAACTAGGATTTTCAACAAGTCTAACAACCTCTCTGATACAAACCTACTCCAGTCATGTAAAGAAGACGGGATCTGCACTAGATCATGTTTCCCTTCGACCAAGCTCCAAAGTTTACGGCCCAGGTATATATATGTTTGGCTTCATACAGCGCAAACTTGTAACCAATTACTTAAATACAACAGGCAGGCACTTGGGTCTTTGAGAACCCCGCTTTAGCTGCCTATGCTGTAGCTGGGGCTGGAGGGGTTGCCGTTATCGCTTCTCCAGTGCTGGTAACAGCCCCGATTCTATCGGGTCTAGGATTCAACTCCGGTGGTGTTGCTGCAGGTATTTACAATCCCCAAGCAAGAACACTCAATTTGCGTAACACTCATTTAGCGGTAAGTTTTGTTAACCTTGAGGATAGGCTCATACGCGGCTGGGGTTCAAAGTTCCATAGGAAATGTTGCAGCTGGTAGTTTGTTTGCCACAGGACAAAGTGCAGGGGCAGGTGGTCTGGGTTTGGTGTCTGTCAACACCGCTGCACAGGCATGTGGTGCAATCGCTGGTATGGGAAGTGCTGGGTTCGCCTGGTTCAAAGGCAACAAAACTGGTTGAATTATTCCTGGTCGGTCATCCTACACCATGTAGCAAGTAGGTTGCCTCTTGCTGTATTTTTGGAGTACTCGGTCTTGAAAATGCGCTTGGATATCTTTAGAGCTGCAGGCTCTTGATTTTCTACATGGTTCTTCTAGCAAGGCTTCTACAATCTAGTGGTTGATTGACAATGAGTTGTCCAGTTTTCTCTGTTTTCCCTGTCCCATCTTTGGCTGTTCACCCTGTGTTAAAGGTCATTTTCAGTAAATAGTCTACTTTATGTTAGACTTGTAGAGATCTGAACTACAATGATATACCAGAAATCGACAAGATAACCATTGCTAAACTTTGACATTTCTGCTCTCTAGATGAAAAAAAAGAAGAAATACCATACGAGTGAATTAACAAATACAAATGAAATGATAGATGTTTGATCATTGTTTATTGTGGGGCCTTATAGATCAGGCGTTGATGGGGTATAAACTCCCCGCATCTGCACTTCAGCTCCCTTTGATAAGCTCAGCTATTCCAACTTCACCCCTGTCACACAAAGGCCATGGCTTTGTCCGCAAAAGGCGTTGTGCCAGCTGCTGACCTCCAGTCGTTTACTGAATATTTGAGAGGCTGCAAACGTATCGTTGCTCTTCTTGGAGCTGGAATCTCAGCATCATCAGGCTTGCCCACCTTCCGTGGCGCAGGCGGACTCTGGCGTTCCCACGATGCAACCTCCCTCGCCACCCCAGAAGCTTTCGATGAGACCCCCGGTCTGGTCTGGCAGTTTTACAGCTACCGGCGACACATGGCCTTGCAGGCCGACCCCAACAAAGCACACTATGCCTTAGCAGAGTTATCACGGAGGAATGAAGACTTCATCACTTTGAGCCAAAATGTTGACGGTATGGATGTCCGACAAATTGGTTTGATTTCTTGGCTAATATATCACTCGCGTTTCTTCTAGGTCTCTCCCAGCGAGCGAACCATCCCACGAAACAGCTGTACCTTCTTCACGGCACTCTGTTTACTGTGAAATGCACCAATTTCTATTGCAACTACAGCGAAGACAACTATACAGACCCTATAGTTCCCGCCCTCGAAATCCCAAAAAAAAGTTCCGGCCTCAACCCCTCTGCAACCGATAAGACTGGCGAGGAAGCATCGAAAGCGATCGCAGAAGCGCTAGACGACACAAGCAGCGAGGTCGATATCTCCGATGTCAGCAATCCTATCGCCACAGTGGACAAAAAGGACCTACCTCAATGCCCGGGATGCAAGGATGGGTTGCTTCGACCAGGAGTGGTATGGTTTGGAGAACCCCTACCGGAGAAGACGCTTAAGGCTGTCGATAAGTGGATCGCGGCGGGGCCAATTGACCTATGTTTGGTGATTGGCACCAGCGCAAGGATCTGGCCTGCTGCGGGGTATGTCCACGAGGCTCGTTCGCAGGGCGCCCGAGTTGCTGTGTGCAATATGGACCCCAACGATACACCTGGTGAGCTTCATTATGGTGACTGGTTCTTCCAGGGAGATGCGGGTGATATTGTCCCTGAGATACTAAAGAGCGTTATTGGCGAGATTTGAACTTTTATGGGGGGATTGATGATTGATATGAGGACGGCGAATTTTGATATTGGGGTTTTGCATAAACTGGCGATGATGGGACACATGATGGATGATAAAGAGCCCCGGATTTCATAGAATTTGTTATAATTCTTTTTTGCTATTCCAAGGTGGATCGACGGAGTTAGGCCATTTTCATCAAAAATACTAGGCTAATCGCAGAGACTCCGAGATACCAATGCCGCATACAAATGCCGATCATGCCTCGGGTACTCCCATTTAATAACCCCATAAAATGGCGGAATTATAAGATCAACACTTGCAAATGATTGGCCTGACCTCGGGAACCTAATTGTAGTACCATGCGGGGTATATAGAGCTTGCAGAGAGACATTAAGAAATTCAATGGGCTGACATTTAAACATTTAAGCTCGGACGTCCCCTCTACCAATTGCAACTCAATTGCAAGACATCTGGACATTCACAATGACAAATGTACCCCAGAAACGAAAGAAGGTAGAGAGTGATGATGAGGACGAGATTGTCAAAGATGGCAGCCTCACATCGGCTGCTGAGAATTTCTTCGAGGCGCTGTGTATGCGATCAAAGCTCCACGCAGTCCATTCAAAAGGCTAACCTTTCTCTCAGCTGAGGCCGGCATCACTCACTGCTTCGTCAACCTGTGAGTCCCTGTATCAACCACTGATTTAATGTGTTTTGACCGGTCCGATAGGGGGAGCGACCATCCCGCGATGTTGGAAGCGATGATCAAGGCTAAGCAAGGTGAGTACCGGAGATATTATTCAAACAACTAGGGCTGAATTGTGGTTAGAAGACAAAACCAATTTCCCAAACATCATTACTTGCCCTTCTGAGCTAGTTGCGCTTTCAGCTGCACTGGGATATGCTCAAGCTACAGGAGTTCCGGTAGGTTACTGTGTCCATCATATCAATTGATATTCGCCTAACTTCTCGCAAGCAATGCGTAATTGTCCACGTTGACTGCGGCACTCTGGCTATGGGACAGTCCATACATAACGCATCCGTTAGCAGAGTTCCTGTCCTGTGCTTCGCTGGCTTGAGTCCTTTTACCCAGAATGGTGAAATGCTGGGTTCCAGAACAGAGTTAGTAAGCCCGAGAATGCTTACATTGAACCGACTGACACTATTATAGGTTTATTCATTGGCTGCAAGACGTACCCGATCAAGCAGCAATTGTCCGACAATACTGCAGATACACAGGTGAAATAAAGACCGGACGTAATATCAAGCAGATGGTTTCGCGGGCTTTGCAGTTTGCTACATCTGACCCGAAGGGTCCAGCATATCTAATGGCTGCGAGAGAGGTGCTCGAAGAGGTAAGTATTTACAGTCCTAATAAACCAAATGACTACTGGCTAAATGCTATGTAGCGCGTGGGAAAAGAAATCCTAGATGGGGAAATTCTCAGTTCAATCACTCCAAGTGCATTGCCAGAGCAAGGTAGGATGGTAATTATCCGAGCTATAACCTCATATCACTGATAGCAACAGAGGTGGAATTAATCGCCAAGTCACTTATGGACGCAAAGCGACCGCTTGTCATCACAAGTTATCTTGGTCGGAATCTTAAAGCGCCGGCCCTCTTGGCTGAGCTTTGTGATAAACTTCCAATCACCGTCGTGGAGATGGTCGGCTCTGACATTTCGCTGCGAAGTGACCATGAAGCATATCGCGGTGTTACCGTCACTACTCACCCGGAAGTTCTTGAAGCTGATGTTATTCTTATTCTTGATTGTGATGTGCCATGGATTCCGACTGCTGGGAAGCCTCGTGCGGGTAAGGATGCCCAGGAAGCAATGTTGGGTTATGTTCTGACCGGAACTACAGGCACGAAGATATTCCATCTAGATGTCGATCCGCTGAAGCAACAGATGCCACGTAAGTTCACATATTGACCGCAGAGCGGATCTTTTTCTGCTTCTTTGCCAACAATTATATATCAGTCTTTTCAATTAACGCCACTCGCAAGCTCAAGGTTGGCTGTGGAATTGCACTTGAGCAAATCAATGCTTTCCTAGATAAACAGAACATCAATCGGGCTAAGTATACCATGGAGTTTGAGGAGCGGTCAAAGAACTACAAAACTTGGAGGGGAGCCCTACAAACACTTGAATCGCCATCTTCCGATGGTGTAGTCAGTGTGCCATATCTGGCATCTAGACTGCGAGGTTCTCTCCCTCAAGACACTATTTACGTTTTGGAGGCTGTAACTAATGTCGGACATCTCATCCACCATTTGAACTTGACCAAGGTATGGAGGTACTCATCCCAAATTCTAACTCAATGCTGATAAAATTACAGCCAGGAAGTTTGGTTGCCAGCGGCGCAGGTGGCCTAGGATGGGGAGGTGGTGCAGCACTGGGCGTCAAGCTAGGCAAGCCAGGTTCATTCATATGTGCAATGTAAGTGTTGCAGCTGTCAGAGCACATACTAAGTATCTAATAACCGCCTAGAGTCGGTGACGGAGTTTACCTATTCTCACAGATGGAAAGTGTCTATTGGATCGCCAGACGCTATGGTATTCCCTTCCTCCTCATTGTGCTCAATAACGGCGGATGGAACGCACCAAAGGTGTCTGCGCTTCTGGTCCACAAGAACGGGTTATCATCGAAGTCAAATAGACGAGGTCAGTCAGTTCTAAACTAAACATCTTACGCACGGTGGCTAAGCTAATTTACTGCAGATCTCAATATCTCGTTTGAGCCTTCTCCCGATTACCCCGGTATTGCCGCTGCAGCTGGTAAGGCGTGGGGTAAGACAGTTACCACGCAAAGCGAGCTTGATCCTACTATCAAGGAGGCGACGGATATTGTTCAGAGTGGGAAATGTGCTGTTATTGAGGTTTCGTGAGTAGGGATAGGAGCTCTTAACCGACTACAACTGACTGTTATTTACAGTGTTCCGTCTATGTGGAAGGAGAACTAGAGGAAAGGGTTAGCTGGGCGAATGGGGAAACCAGTTCTCATTTTCTAGCTCCACGGGGAATTTCATGTTTTTGTTTTGTTTTATGGTTTACGCTGGGACTGTGGTATCACCCATGCATAATAGAATAAACAAATACAGAGGTCAACCCAGGCATACCAAAGTCAGTAAACGGATTTGATCACATAGCGAGGACGGGCGAATATCCCCACGTTCAAGGACTCTTGGAAGATGTTCGGTTTCCGTTTGCTGTTTTTAGAGGGCAAAAATGAATGAACTACTCAAAACGAAGAAAGGGCGCCCGTAAAATACCGTTTTCTCAAAGTTGACAACCCAGAGCTAGCTGTGTTCATTGATAGGGAAATTTCTTCGGTTTGAATCTGCATAGTAGCAAATGAGTGGTTGAATGGTGATGAACTGAAGAGTGGTGTTGTTGAAATGAAGAGAGAGATCAAGGTGAGAGTAAGCTGGAAGTGAATTTATAAATGGAGAACTTCTGTCTCTGTTGACTGTAATTTCCATAATTTGATTATCCGGATGACTCGCTCGAGGTGAGTGTGGAAGACATGATATCTTTTATATATATTTATTTCTTTACAACATGGAGTGTCGTATAAAGTAGGGTGGAAATGATTAACTTCGAACTGTGAAAAGCACCTTGTCGACAAAACGAGGTTTCCATGGATAGTCTCTGATAGCCACCTGCCAATGTGAAGTCCAAAGTTCAAAGTTCAAGGTGGTGAAAGGGCTCCACAAGCTAAGTGTGGTCTGTCTCAACACACGTAGTGGTCCAAAGGGGCAAGGCTGCTAAAAACGTGGGCCAATGAGCCCTCACCAGGTATTTAGGTATTTGAGGAGTATATAAGTGACTTCGTCTTCATGGGCGAGAGGAATTGGTTGCAGAGAGTAAGTAGATGTGCCGATTTATAGTCAGATGTCCCTTAATGCCTGAGGCATCATCCGTTGCTAGGCCGACCGCAAACAAAACGATAACCCTTTGGAATCGATAACGACCTGCCTTTGATGTTTGCAAACCCCCACCATCGACAAAACTCATCGGATTCAAGGCATCATCTAAGGGTCAGTTCCTCCTATAATTCTATATTTGTTTCTTTTCTTTTTGGACTCGGAATTTCAATTCCCAAATGACCCCAACCTCCACGAACTGGTTAAGCTCGCACACAAAGCACACAAAGAACACGAAAGACTAACGTCAAATTCCAGTGCTCTGAGATTCCTCTTCGCGTCTTGATGCCCAAAGATCGGATCATTCCAGCCTTGGTCATCCAGTGAATTCAACAAACCAACTTATTACCCATCTAACAAGATACAATCCAAATCACACCGCTCGTTAAAACACGATGGCTAGAGAAAGCACCGCGCCAATGGAGCCCCTCACCCCAGGAGGAAAGCCAAACACTCAACCTCACCCCGCACACGTCCAGGAACCGGAATTCGGAAAACCCTCGCCGATCGGCCCCCCACAACACAGATCCAACCACCTTTTCAACATTCCAAAGCCAAATCAATCTCGTGCCGAACATCATCGACCCGCCCCTCGACCGCAGCCGCAACAGCCGCCACAATCGCGCCACCAAGGGCAATCAAGTGCTACGCCTCACGCTTATCGCCAATCGGGCACGTCGGGTGCCCCATTCGCTACGCCGTCGGTGAAGCGAAGCGAGCCATGGGATCCATTCAAGCCGGTGGCACCATCAGCCTACAACAACCCCCGCGGAGGATTTCAACATGGTGCAGTGAGTATCAAGCGACCTGAAAATGTCACCTGGTCAACTCCTCGGGCCCCTAGGCCGATCTATCAATCCAAGCCTGTTCCGCCGAAGGTCGGAGGCGCGTCGAAGAACATACAGAAGTTTATTGATCTCACACGCGACGACACTGATCCTGTTTCAAGAGCTCCTGTTCCAAGAGCATCAGCCTATGCGACGCCGAGCTTCGGGGCCATGGATATGAATGGCTATGTGGATACGGCTATGGCAAATGAGAACATCAAGGCTTTGCTTGAAGGTGCATTCGAGGATGAGGAGGACAAGGCTGAACCGAAACCTAAGGGCAAGAAGAAGAAAGGCGGAAAGAAGTCCAAGAAGACGTCACAGGAGAAGCAGAAAGATGAAGTCGTCGTAGACAAGAAGAAGGAACAAACGATTGACGACCTTGACGATCTTGCTGCTCAACTTCAAGGGGTCACGGTCAGCGACCCGAAAGATAACGATGCCAAGTCTTCAGACGATCCATCTGCCAAGGTTGAGCAAGACGATGAAGTTGCCAAGCTAGACGAAGAAGACGAGGCAGAGGAGGAAGAAGACGAGGAGGAGGACTCTGACGATGAAGATAATGGGGTCATCGAAGGCTTAAAGGTTACCCTTCTTCCCCATCAAGTTGAAGGTGTCAGATGGATGAGTGATAAAGAGACTGGCCGAAAGACATCGAAAGGAATTTTCCCCAAAGGCGGAATTCTTGCAGATGATATGGGTTTGGGTAAAACAGTGCAAACGGTTGCTTTGCTGCTCAAAAACCGCAAATCCGACCACGAAGACAGTGATAACAACACCGAATCCGAGGGCAAGACGACTAAACTGCCCCCTAACTGCATTGCCTCCACTTTGGTGATTGCGCCCCTTGCACTCATCAAGCAATGGGAGGCAGAAATCAAGGACAAGGTTGAGCCATCCCATAAGCTGCGTGTTTGCATCTACCACGGTGCAACACGCGCAAAGACTTCGACCACCTTGGACCAATACGATGTTGTGATCACAACGTATGGAACCCTTACGTCCGAATTCAACTCATCAGCATCAGACAAGGCCAAAAAAGCGGGCATCTTCGCTGTTCATTGGTACCGTATCATTCTTGACGAGGCGCACACTATCAAGAATCGTAACGCCAAAGCCACCCAATCAGCATATGCGTTGGATGCTCAATACCGCTGGTGCTTGACAGGAACGCCATTGCAAAACAACCTGGATGAGTTGCAGAGTCTGATCAAATTCCTTCGGGTGAAGCCCTATGACGATTTGGCTGCATGGAGAGATCAAATTAGTCGGCCTTTGAACAATGGCCGTGGAGGTCTTGCCATTCAGCGACTACAGGTCTATCTGAAGGCCTTTATGAAGCGGCGCACGAAGGATGTCCTCAGACTGAACGACATTGTGAAACCTGGCGAAGAAGGAGAAGATGGCAAGCCAAAGAAGTCTTCTAATGGATTCCACATCACCAAACGTGAGGTCATTAAGGTGTCTCCCGAATTCATGCCTGGAGAGTTAAACTTCTACAAACGTCTCGAGCAACGGACGGACAACAGTCTTGAGAAAATGATGGGTGGTGCTAAGGTCGATTATGCTGGAGCTTTGGTTTTGTTGTTGCGTCTTCGCCAGTCTTGTAACCACCCAGACTTGGTCAAGGGTGATTTGGCCAAGGACAAGGACATTCTCTTGCAGAATGGCAGTACGAACAGCCAGTCAACACAGTCAAAGGCAGATGATCTTGACAGCATTGCCGATCTTTTCGGGGCAATGAGCGTTGTCGCAAAGAAATGCGATGTTTGCCAAACGGACCTGAGTCCAAACGAAATCAAGGACGGTGGCAGTCGATGCGGCGAATGTGAAGCCGACCTAAACACCAATGTTATAGGCACAGATAAAAAGAAGAAAAAGAAGTCGAAGAAGAGCCACAAGGAGCTTGATATTCCGGACTCCCCATCAGCCCGCAAATCCGAAGCGCAAATCGCTCGTTCTCGCAAAAATCGACGAGTCATTATTGACAGTGACGACGAAGATGAAGAAGGCGATTGGGTTGTACCTGACGACCAGCGCAAGATACCCAACCTCGGTAAAGCAGGTGGGTCTGACGATGAAAACGCGGAAGGAGGTGGTGAATGGCTGGTTTCGGACGATGAAACCGATGATGAGATCGAATCGCCCTCCAGAAGGAAGAGCAAACCCATCGTTCTGAGCGATTCCGAGGATGAAAGCGATTCCGAAGCGGAGGACATCTACAACGACGAAGGAGAAAACGGAGAGCTTCCATCCACTAAGATTCGCCATCTTATGAGGATTCTCAATCGCGAGGCACCCGACTTCAAGTTTATTGTTTTCTCCGTCTTTACGTCTATGCTTGACAAGATCGAACCCTTCTTGAAGAGTTCCAATATTGGCTTCGCCCGCTACGATGGTGGAATGACAAATAACCACCGCGAGGCCAGTCTCGAGAAGCTCCGAAACAACAGTGGCACTCGTGTATTGCTCTGTAGTCTGCGTGCCGGTGCATTGGGTCTCAATCTGACAGCCGCTAGCCGCGTCGTCATCTTGGAGCCCTTCTGGAATCCCGTAAGTTGCAATTTTCTATAATCTGTTGCGTATCGTGCTAACCCGAGACTTAGTTTGTGGAGGAGCAAGCCATTGATCGCGTGCATCGTCTGAATCAAACCGTTGACGTCAAAATCTACAAGATGGTCATCAAGGGTACTGTGGAAGAACGCATTGTTGCCCTGCAGGACCGTAAGCGCGAACTGGCCAATGCCACTATCGAGGGCAAGGCAGGCGCTGGCAAGCTCACAATGCGCGACATGATGGCGCTCTTCGGTCGTGATGCAGAATCCCGATTCACGGATAACCAGAGCACCCTGGACTTCAACCAGCCTACTCGACTGCTGGACGCCGGGGATGAGACTGAGCCTGTCCATTCCTCTCAGGGATCAACACAGTCTGCCCCACGCAGCCGGGGAAACGAGGCCCAGGCTCACCGGCCACGAAAGGAAGACTCGGTTTACGGTCGACGCTGGTAATCGGACGGTGTTTTATCAGCATGGTACGAAATTATGAAATGATATTTGGAGAACTTTGGGGAGTCCCGGTTGGCGTGAGGAACGTGGTTAAAGTTTTTTTGCTAGATTTATCTCATTTCTTGTTTGATATTATACATTATTGGTTCGTCTCGTACATCTCCTGAACTTCTTGCTACTATGTCAAACCATTCATCCCGAGGTTCTTCATTTCTTATCGTCGGCCTGGGGCTGCTACAGACCAAAGAATGGTGGAACCTTGGTCGTTTCATGCTGGGCCTCGCGCCTCCCCTGTATCCGGAAACAATGTCCGCGAGTCAGATTGCCGTCCAATTTCAGATATGGCGACTTCACAATGGGGCTCGGCATTGTGGTCCGATTGGGATGCCTGCGATCCTGGATTATAATTACCGTCGCCATGGATATGGCGCTACGAAGCTCTATTGCAACTGCACGATATGCCTCCCTTTATTTGATACTCCTGGGTGAAACTAAGTCAACTGCTACGATCTATTCCGACTTCATCTCGATGCTTGATACGGCAGGACGGAAGCTAATTGAGAATCCAGTTGTCAAATCCAAACCGTTTCTCATATCGCCATCCAACACGTGTGTCACCAACTGATAAGACCACTTTTCTTTTGTGGAATGTGTGGGGTATCCCCATTCGAGCTGAGTTGATTCTCGATGGGCCGGAACAGGTACCTCCATCTCAGGTTCTATGGTTCTGGTCTGGAATCGCCGAGTCTCGCCTTCGTGCGCTTTAACTTGAATGCTGGTAAGGATTGGATTACACTGGTAGCACACGGAATTTACCAGCAGGCCAAGTCTCCCAAAATTCCAAGAGTGGACGAGGGTACGGGCAAAATTCGCACTGCTTGGAGGGTTTGGGGTGCGTTCTAGCCAGGGCCGACCAGACTCTTTGCCGAAGCTCATACCATGTATCTAAGATTCTGGCCCATAGGATTGCGAGCGACTTTCTGAAGGTAGTTTCCAGCGAACCGGACAAGGGAACCGAGGACATGCTCCCAGGGAGGAAGCTTGTTTCTGGTGGCTCATGCTTTGATAGGTTGAAAGCTCACAGGAGAGAGCATGAGCCGGGGAATAAGCCCCTCGCTAACCCCGGTTGAAGCATGGAATTCGTGGGGATCTTTCAATCTCGCATGTGTCCTTCACAACTTCATTTGACTTTCTTCATACACTTTGTGTGCTGCCCAAATTACGCTTGATACACAATGACTCCGATGTTGCTAGTCCTTGCTTAACCGCGTGAATCCATCGCTACCTTTCAGTGAGCTGCTTCCCCCAAATTCACTGTCTAGCATTAGAGTTAACCCTGGTATTCTTCTTAGTTCGAGCCATTCTCGACTGTTCTCTCCACCGGGGATTGAATATTGAGATATGTCTTCACCGTCTGACATCAAAGAGAACGGTGACTGGACGGTCATTTACGATGACCAGAATGAGGCTGACCAAAACGGCAAGACCGAAGAGAAGCCTTCCATAAGGAGGCAGCCTCTCGCGCGAACTTTATCTATACCAAAGACCATGTGTACCATGTCTGACAACAAGACTGAGATATCAACAGTAGCCGAGCTGCTATCCCCCAAGTTGAAACTGCCTCAGCTGGGGACTGACTCGGCGGAAAGAGTCTTTCCTGTTCGCTCAGTCGTCTCGTTTGATTCCACGCCTTCATCTGCCCTGCAAACACCTTCTCTGGATAAGCTCGAAATACCGTTATCTCCATTTTCAGACACATGGAGCGCAGGCTTCACCAATGAACAAGCCGCCTCTCAACAGAATAATCCAACCGGGAAGAGCATGGATGCTGAGGACGATGCCCCGAAGAGACCCGATTCTCTGGTTCAACTGCATCAAAAGAGTGGTGGCAGGAGCGAGATTTTACCAGTGCTGAAAGGACAATCTTACACCAGCCATAATCTCGACCATTTGGAACAATTGAGAAACACTGTGCAAAACGGTGGCGAAATCCTTGACTTCCACAAGACAACAAAGGGAATATACTACTCGCATGAAGATGAAGAGGACATTTTCATTCAGTCATTCGGTACACTCGTTGTGATGACAGAATCAGACGGTAACTTCGAAGTGCAGGTAGCAAGCGAGAACTCCAAGGCAATGATTGGGCATTCTCCTAATAACCTCTTCGAACTTCGAACGTTTTGTGATATATTGCCATCCTCGCAACAGAGGAACTTCCACACTCATGCTCAATTTGTTTTGAGCGATAACTACTCAATCGAGAACTCTGGCCCGGAAGTTTTCTTTCTTTCTGTCTTATCATCTGACGGATATACCCATGGTAATTGGTGTACCATGCATACAAGCACAGTATATAAGGACTATGTGATCTGCGAATTCCAGCCTGAGGCCCAGGAAATAAAAGATCGCTCCGACTTGGAGAATCCCGAGAGTCGAATGACAGCATATTATAGCCAGAACTTGGATATATCTTCCGGGGCGTTTCTCGAGGATGTCCGTCCCCCGGGTGAAAGTTTTGATGCCGGAATCAGCAAAGTTCCAGACTCATCGGATAGCCGGGACTTGGACATGACTTCTGGAGCATTTTCCGAGGACGTCCATCCTCCGGGGAAAGATCATGATGTTACAAACAGCAAAGTGCCGGACTCATCGGATCTTCTCAATAATGTTCCTCGAATTCTCCAGCGTCTGGCAAATTCTCAAACATTGGAAGCACTCGTTCAACATGCCATTGCCACTTTGCAAAGTCTCATTCAATTCGACAGAACGACCATGTATCATTTCGATGGTGATCGCAACGGAATCGTGGTCGCCGATGCGGTTGATACTTCGTCGGGGTTAACGTCATGCGAAGGCGTGCATTTTCCGGAATCAACCTTCCCCGAAGGACTGAAAAAGCTATACACACGCAATACTGTATGTGCCGCTTTTTCTGGAAGCCAGGGCACTTCAAAGATTGTGTATCGGGCTTCCACCAACAAAAGGCCCCTTGACATCTCAAACACCTATCTCTCTGCAGCACCTGCGCTTCCAACACCGCAGCACACCGACAATCCCGTCAAGGCTTGTTTGTCAATCCAAGTCAACGTTTTTGGCAAACTCTGGGGTCTCATATCCTGTCAGTCTTACGACAGTAACCAAAGGCTCCATCCGCTCATCCAGAAAGTTTGCTGGTTTGTGGCCGAGGCGGTTTCAAGCAACATTGAGCGTCTGTCCTACACTTTGCCCTTCCAATTTCGAGAGCCGGGCATCTCCCTGAATAAAACAAGCACACCTCAGGCTATCAAGACTCCACCTGGTGATCTTCTCAGTCTGTTCGGGGCAGATTACGCTGCAGCTTCGATTATGGGCGAGGCCAAGATCTTGGGGAAACCAATCGACTCACAGGAAGTTCTGGCATTATTTGAATACATGAAAACGAAAGAAAACCACTCTATATTTTGGTCTGGAAATATCGCTACCGATTTCCAGGATATCAACTACCCGCGCGGCTTTCATCATCTTTCCAGTTTACTCTACGTTCCTCTTTCGGTGGACGGTCGTGATTTTGTTATCTTCTTCCGGGCTGATTTAGAAATCGGTAGCCTTGCTTCTGATTCAGGGCGATCGAGTCGGCCACATGAGTGGTCGTCAGCCGAGTTTGGAAAGGCATCTGTTCTGTCTTTACTATATCGCACTTTCACCGATATATGGCAAGAGAAGGAGGCTACACTGCAGAACAACCAGTTGATGAGGCTTCTGCTTGCTAATTCTGCGCATGAATTCAGAACTCCTCTCAACGCCATCATCAACTACCTAGAAATCGTTCTTGATGGCTCTCTGGATCAAGCAACACGAGATCACATTTCCAGGTCTCACTCGGCTTCTAAGTCGTTGGTTTACATCATCAATGACCTCCTAGACCTCACAAATGCCGAAAGCGGACAACGGTTGATAAAGGACGAGGCATTCGATCTATCAGAGACCCTCACAGAAGCAACAGACATATTCTGGGAAGAAGCAAGACAAAAGCATGTCGATCTGCAAGTAGTCCAACATGCAGCCCTACCTCCCGTCCTTGGTGATCAACGACGGGTACGCCAGGTGATCACAAACTTGATTAGCAATGCTATACAGCACACATCCACTGGGGCGGTAACAATCGAGTCTTGTGTCGTACCGGAGCTGCTGGTGCCAGATTATATTTGTGTTGAAGTCGCAATACACGATACCGGGTCTGGCATGTCCCAAGAGACCGTCGAAACATTGTTCTCCGATCTGGAACAAGTTTCCAACAAGGGATACATGCAGAATCCTAAGTCATACGAACGCACTTCAAGTGGCCATGTGTTAGAGACTGAAAGTGTGCTTGGTCTGGGCCTCGCGCTAGTCGCCCGAATAGTTCGCACTATGAACGGGCAGCTAAGCTTGAAGTCTGAAGAAGGCAAGGGAAGTTGCTTCAAGATCAGGCTTGCATTTCCTCTTCCGGATGAAGATAATAGTCAAAAGCAGAACTTATGCACTACGTCAAATGAACCTCTGCAGGAAGATGAAAGAAAACAAGAAACAAAGCAAGACACCATATCCTCAAGTTGCATAGCAAGCCAGAAAGAAGATGGTACTCCATGTGAATGTGGTCAAACTGCTGAATTCGAATCAGCTGAATCCATCGTCAACGTCGATGTAAGCTTGAAAACCAGCGAATCAAGAAACCTCTCTCTTTCAGGCCAAAAGCTAGAACAGAACAATCAGCCAAATAAACCTACCACTTCCCCTCCAAAGAAAGATCCCAATAAACCATCAGAAGCATCCAAATATCTCACCAAAGAAACCTTGTCGATCTCACCAACCACAAAATCCCCAACCACCCAACCAAGTACCTCTCCCACAATGAACTGGAACCTCCATGTCCTCGTCGCAGAAGACGACCCAACCAACAGCACGATCGTTCAAAAGCGCCTCGAGAAATTTGGGCATACGGTACACCTGACAAGCAACGGAAAAGAATGCGCATATGCGTACAAAGCGAATCCCACAGGCTTCGACGCTGTGCTGATGGATCTACAAGTATGTCTACCAATACCAAACAATTATACAATTCCAAAGTCAATTGATATACTAACACTCAAAATTTCACCTCCAGATGCCAATCGTCGATGGCCTCGGCGCAACACAGATGATACGCGAATACGAGCAGCAAGAGCTAGCTAATGAGACCACGCCTGCGCCTCGAATTCCCATTTTCGCTGTCTCGGCTTCCTTGATCGAGGAGAATCGGAAGATGTACATGGAGTCGGGCTTTGACGGGTGGGTTTTGAAACCGATTGATTTCCACAGGGTTGATCGGTTGCTTGGTGGTGTTAGGCTTCAATGGGTGCGGGAGGAGGTTGTTTATCGGCCTGGTGTGTGGGAGGCTGGGGGTTGGTTTGAGGCATAGATACATACATATTCAGGATGGCATGGCATGGTATCGGAGTTAGGATGGAAGTTGATTTGACTCGAAGAAACAGATGAAACGGGGGAAGATGTCCAATATCCAGATGGCATTGAAATCATATGCAAGAATTCTAATCTTTATCCATGGTATCTATGCAAACAAAAGAAACGCAAAATGCAAACAAAAATGGAAAAGAACCATCTCAAAAACTTTCCGCTGCATCGGAAAAGTCAGGCACTGTATCGCCGCACTTGAATGAAGGACTATATGCCTTGCTTGGCATATATCCATTCTTCCACGCAGTTCGATAACTCCACTGTGCTGCGGACTCCGTCCGCCAGGTCCAGTAGAACCATCCCATCGCCGTTTCGAAGGCAGACATCTGTGCCTCGGCATACGTCTGCAGGAACTTCTTGTATGTAGTCGAGTACTCAGATGGGTCCTGGTTCGCATCCGCGCAGCTGCATGTTCCTTCGGCCGCTGTTGGGCAGTATGCCGTCGTGGAACTGGTATCGTAGGTTCCCTCCCATCGGGTGCCTCGGCCGACGTTGTTCACATACTGTGCGCAGTCGGTGTCTGCCTGTGACCATTCGCCGCAAATTGTTGGACCCCATCTAGTTTGTGTGTTAGCGTGTGCAATGAGAAAACGGAGTGATATTTACCCAGAACTTGTCGTGTTGATCTCCTTGAGCATGGGGTACCAATTATTGCAGATAATGTTGACCTTGGCGGTGTGGTTCAAGACGATTTCACCTGTGTTGAAGGTTGTGTATTGGTGAGTGTCGAGGTACATGTTGTCCGGGTGAGTTTTGAACATGTTGTCCCACTTGTCGAGATTCAGGAATCCGTCATGCAGGACAAGAGTGGCGGTGACACCATTCTTGCGGACGAGTTCTGCAGCCTCCTGGGTCCAATTCAGGACCTGATCGACGGGCAGGGTCAGCAGCAACGGCTCGTTCACCAGACCGTAAATTGTTACTACATTCTTATACCGATCTTGGGCAAAGAACTGTGAGAGTTGGTTGTGGATCTCAAGTGATCGCTTCCGGTTGAGGGCACCGTCTGTGCCAGTCAACCAGTCGATGCTGCCTTGCCTACCGCTGTGGTTCCAGCCATTCTGACTACCGGGAAGTCCGTGGAGATCGAGTTTGATCCGCAGTCCATACTTGCGACACCACTCGATTGCACGCAGGAGATATCGCCACGCAATCTTAGGGACGTAGGGATCGTCGTCGTAGGTAGTCACGGCCCAGTAAGAGTATGGGATCCGGACATGATCCAAACCGGCTTCCTTGATCTCCTTTATGTCTGACTCTGTGATGAATTCGGCGTAATGTTTCTCAATGGTGGATGCTGCAGAGGTTCCGAGCTTTTTGGTCAAGGTGTACTCGTCGATGATACTGGCGCTGGATGGCCACTTGCTGAACAGGGATGGGACAATGAATGGTTCGATGGACAGCCACCCCCCTATATTGACCCCCCGGATCGGCTGTGTGCCGTAAGGGAACGGCTTGTTAAGAGCAGGCACATTGTCGTTCGCCCGGGCAGTGTCATCCCAAGCTGAGTTGATGCCCATGACGGAAAGACCTCCCACAGTCTCATTTGTGAATGTGAGGTTGAACCCTACGGTCTCGTACCACGTAAATGGATCCAAGACGGTACCTTTGGCGTAACTCTGAAGTTCTGTTGTCAGTAAAGTTCATCAAGGCAACACACTCCAAGACTTACTGGTATGCTGTCGCGGCTGATACTGCCCAGATTAGAGGTAGTAGAACTGTCACCAGAGTCCGAGGAACTCGAGGAACTCGATTTTGGATCCGAGCCTTTCTTTTTCGACACAACAATTGCAACCGGGATGATAATGGCAAGCAAGAGGAGGACGGCAAGTAGACATCCGACCAAGATACGCTTCTTCTTCGACCAACTAGACCAAAACTTCCAAGCCGGTGGCCCTCCACGGCTCTCCAAGCTGCCTTCCCAGCTATCTTCATCTTTCCAATAATCTTCCACAGCAAGACCACCACCCCCACGACGACGAACGCGAGCATCAGAGCTAAGACCTTCTTCCAAATAAGCACCAGACACAACTCGCGCGCCGGATTTATGGCGTGAACGACCCTCTGCAACTTCAGCGCCAAGCGCCGCACCAGCAGCACCGTCTAGAACAGCTCGCTTCCGCTGTCGTCGACGTTCCCGCCGCGAATCATCTTCCTCACGAGACTGTTCCATGCGATCCGCATCCTCGTGCTGAGCAGCAAGACGCGCCATGGCATCCACACTCAGGAGATGCGAAGCACTACTCGAAGACTCGGTGCTGCGATGTTTCCTTGCCGGCGTCGCAGCAGCAGCATCTATTTCTCGCTCACGCTCACGCTCTCTTTCTCTTTCGCGCTCGCGCTCACGCCTTCTCCGTCGACGCGCCTCAGCCTCGATATCAACATCAACACCCCTCGTCCGTCTTTCTCTAGCCGGACTCGCACTAACACTCTCATCTCTGCGATACCGTCTCTCACGATCCCGCCGTTTAGTAGGCGACGCAGCAGGCGAGTCCTTCACCCTCGAACTGCCCCTCTCCCTATCCCTATCCCGTCTCCTCTCCTCCCCATAAACAAGCCCCGCCGCCTCGTCCTCCTCCCTCCGTCTGCGCCTCCGTTCCCTACGCCACTCCCGCTCCTCATCATAATCATCGCGTTCATTATGCGAGTTCGAGTCGTACCCCGATTCCCCACGGAACCGGTACTTCGCCGTGCGCGCGTTTCCAGGACTGGATGTTGCGCCTTCATCGACGTCTTCGTAGCGGCCGCGGATGTATTCACGGTCTCGGTCTCGGCGGCGGGAGCGCTCTTGCTCGCGTGCGCGGTCGCGGTCGCGGTCGCGATCCCGATCCCGATCCCCGATCCCGATCGCGTCTGTCAGGTCGGTCTCGGGTTTGGGATTGGCTGGGCATGCCAGATGGGTGGGGGTGGTTGGTGTGGTATGCGCTGATCGCTGGGATGGGAATGTGGAATTGATTGTTGTTTGTGGGGATGGTTGTTGATTGGGTTGTTAGGTGGTAAGGGGGATGAGGAAGAAGGGTGAAAAATGGGAAATGAGTCGAGGTTGGGTTGGACACGTGGGATGTGCCAAGTTGGAACTGAGAAAGTTCAGTCTGTCTTGGAATTCTTGGAATTCTCGGAATCCCATCTATATCGGGTCGGTATAAGGCTGTATTTTTGTACTTCGTTTTGCTTTTTCCCCACTAGGATCCTGCCAAGACATTGTATAGGCATAAAATGGCTTTGTGTTTAGAGGTTTTATTCTCTCTATAATGCCCTTCATCTAAGTATTATATACTATATTCTATAATGTTCGCACGTTCATGATACATACGTACTTTGTACATTATAGGTGTGAATGGTTGCGGAGCAACGAGTGGATATTCAAGGTAAAGAGTAGAACTAATTTCATATATTGAGATGCAATAACATTAAATACACCTATCCCAATCCAAATAGACATGCAAGCTCCAGTCCATTCTAACCAAAATACAAATGCTCATATCAACAAGTCAGGGTATGGAAACTCCAAAATACAAGGTTAAAAAGGGCATCATTGCGAAAAGAGAGAGACGAAAATGAAAGCCAACCGAAAGAGTAATATGAAGGGATAAAAAATCAAAGCACAAGTATGGGTGTTTGTGTCTGTCATGAATATCTGTACAGCTGTGAGGGGAGGATGGAGAGAAAGGGAGAAAGGATGATATGTAGAGATGATAAAGATGAAATAAATGAATTCTCGCTGTGTCCGGGGAATCTAATAGAATGAAAGGGAGATGGTGCCTCGAGCACTGCATCTCTTGCTGCAGAGATCAACGCAGAGAAATGCATAGTCCATATGCAGAATGCAATCAGACAGAGCCAGCAAGGCTGTCTCCCTCCGGCTACTCCCAATGGAGCGGGAGCCGGAGCGTGTCGAAGTAGTGGCAACTCGGCAAGGAGTTAGAGCTGACATCTACTCGTGGACCTCCTCCAGGGCTTGGTATTGGGTAGCATTGGTGTCCCGGCCGAGACTTCAAACTCTAGTGCGAGTAGGAACCACGTAGCTTGGCACGATAGTCCATATTGTGCGGGTATATTGTCAACAGCGACAGCGCCACCCGCATGAGCGCCAAATGGTTTTCACCAAAGGTGAGCCTATCATCAGCTATCAGCTAATGATCTGTCTGGCTCCCTCTTTGCCCAGAACGCCTGGCTCAGTCGGCTTGGGGCTGCGGTCGCGGCCCTTCTTCCGGCTGAAGAATGATAGCATGCCATTGGCTTGTTTGCCCTTGTCATCGCCATCCATTCCATCGGCAGGTGTGGAGTTATGGGCCAATTCACTCCAACTGCCAGCTTCATTTAGGACCATTTGCACGCCCCCACTTTTACTCATTTGCCGAGTTGCACCGCGGTGTCGATTGTTGGGGGGTAAGGGTCGGTGGAAGGACGGAGCAGGCGGCGGTGAAGGCGACACGCGGCTTGAGGGGGAAGGAGGGGGCTGACCAGCCGCGGGGTCATTGGGATCGAGTGTCTCGTTGACTGCGGTCATGTTGTCACTTGGTGGAGCACGATAGTGAGAACCGTCGGCTTGGATGGGAGATGTATTTTTAGACTGGTCGGGGTGTGAGAATTGACGGACATGTACAGTTGAGTTTGCGGGGGTTGTGGTGTTCCCTTGGGTTGTTGTCGCCATTGGAAGGCACTCCTCGGGGTTTCTGGAAGACAATGTTAGCACAACGGGGCAATGATCTTGATTGGGAGAGAAACCCACGATACGGCAGCAATAGCTTCCGCGGCATTGCCTTGGTAGCTAGTCAGGGTGTAGTCAAACGGTTCAAACATTGTTTCAATGAGACGGTGAAGCTCATCATCCCGAATCTCTTTCGCGGTGGCGTCGTCCCTTAGTTCAGCGCGTGGTTTTTGCCTGCGCGCTCTGGCCTCTAATGGAGCTTCTTCAAGAAGCAGCTCCTCTAGATCATAAGTCGCATCAAAGTTGGTTTTGTCGCTCGATGGGCGGAATACTGGCGGGATCTGTTTGCGCTCCAGGGCATCAAAGTCGATTTCAGCGAAGAACATGTGTGATGTGTAGGTCTCAAATCCGATGGCGCCAATTCGCTGACTCCGATCTTTTTGTATCAATGACCCCAATGCCCGCAAGCAAGCTACTGATACGGCGGGATTAGTGACGTAGTATTTCGGCTGCGCCTTTTTGATGTTTTCGCTCAAGGTTTCTTGGCTTCGCCCTTCAAATGGTCGCTGCATTCAAAGTTAGATAGGAAAGTAGACGGGAAACACATATCCCATACCTTGTTGTAGATGCACTCGTAAAAAGTGACACCCAATGACCACCAATCGACTTCAAAGGTATAACCAGTTCCTTCGTAGACCTCCGGGGCAAGATAGGCTAGTGTTCCTGACTTGCTTGTAAGAGGCTTCCCCGGTCGGTAATCTGATGCCACGTTCTGGAGATTCAAGTTAGCCGAAGCTCACGCAAACACGATTGATGCATGTTGATATAACTTACAAAATCAGCCAAATGAACGTGTCCATCGGAATCCAACAGGACATTGTCTGGTTTTAAATCTCGATGAATGATACCCTGCGAATGGATATACCTCAGAGCACAGCCCAGTTCGGCCATCCAAAACCGTACTGCATCCTCTGTGAAGCATTTTCGAGAGATGTGGAATCGAAGATCGCCGCCGTTCATTAAATCAACCACAATATAGCTTCAATTGGGTCAGCGAGGGGTGATGACAGTCGGTTCTAGAATACTCACATGTACTCCATGTCCTGGAAACTGTATCGCAAATTGCATAGGAACGGATGGTTCAAGTGCTCGAGCATTCTACGTTCGCGAATTATATTCCGCACGCTTTCCGAACGGACCACTGAAACGAGTGTCAGCTATAGCGCTCTGGGGTTGACGTCTTGGGGGCTTCCAACGAACCTTCCTCTTTGCGGATATATTTTAGGGCGAATGTAAGACCTGTGTCTTTTCTTTCAACGATTCGTACTTTTCCAAATGCGCCCTTTCCAACGACACGCAGGAGCCGAAAATGATTGAGGTTGACTAGTAGATAAAAAGCGATCAGCAGATTATTCGAAATAATCGGTGACTCAGGTAGTCCCGCAGACGTCCCCGATTGGAGTCAAGTAAACCTACCTGCATCGTTGCATGACACCGGTTTCCCTTGAGTGTTTCCCATATTGTGAGGATGGACCAATGGTCGAAGTAATTAAAGGTTGACTAGTATCTTGCTAGCAACATTACACTTGTCCCCAATGTCCTCCGGTTGAATGGTGATCACGGCAACGGTAGTCGGGCAATCCACGAGTGGATAGAGACAGATTTTCGGCGAATTGAGCTTAGATCGCAATTTCCATGAGGTGACTGAATTCCGAAGGTAGAATGGCCGAGCGGGGGGGTCAAATGTTTCAAAGAGTCGAAGATGATCGAATGCAGGTCTAGATGTAAATTTTTGGAGAAACAAACGAGATTAGATGAAATAAGAAGGCCACCAGAACTCTTCAAACGAAAATAAAGAAGATCCTAGGGTTCCAAGCCTGCAGGATATGTATATCAAGAAAACGTGAGGGCCCGGGAGCTTAGTCGTGAAGCACACTTGGTTGGATAAAGAACCACCCCCTAAGAAAAGTGGGAGAGAGCAGGTAGAAAATAGTAACAAATATGTCAAATGACACGGCAATACTAAGATATTCCTGTCCACTTTGGTCAAGTTGAAGCAAAGATGAAAGAAAGGGGATGAAGCGGGCGAGCGGTCTGGAAGAAGTGGCAGTAAGTTGGCCAATCACGCGTGACGCGCAAGAAAATGGGGCAAAGGGGGAGAAGTGAAAGAAAGGGCTTTTTAGGTCCGCTTCCTATGTTTATTCTAGTCTTGGACGCCGTGTGATCTACACTGTGTTACTACTCTTTAAGACTAGTTGTTTTGTGAAAGATATTGATATTTCCCGGTTATCTATGTCTCTTATATCGAAGACAACCATAGAAATGCCTAATGCTAAGCAATCCCGCCTTCCATATTACCCCCCCCACGCACTCCGAACATCGGGCTCTAAAAAAGAGTGTAGGTGGAGAGAGGGCATATAGCGCTGGCCCAGTTCGACCCGCTTACAGCATAGATTGAGCGGAGGCGATGATATCCGCTAACAGAATGCACAGACTTTTTTCAATCCAGTGACTTGTCCATTATAATCCTAGACGAACTTCCCGGCGGTCAAAATTCAATTTCAATTTGAAACTGATTATTGGGGGGATTATCGGGAGAATTGGTAATTCTATACGATTGAATGCTACAGTACAATGTAGATCGCTATTTAGGCATTTAGTGTGCCCTATGCCTTATCCTCTCTTGTGAGACTCTGTGCTACTTGAAATTTGATCTCATTTCCTATATTCTCCGTCTCATTCCCACTAGAAGTTACAATTTGGAATATGCACAAGTCATCACAGTTTGATGGAGGAGATAACCCAGAAGTATACTGCAATCGACTGGTCATAGTTTGCCACACGTGTGAGATGCCCTATTTCTCCCGAATTCTCGTGGCTGCCACGTTACAGACCGCCCTAGGCCGCAATGCATATAGAAGGGCCCTGGAATGCCTAAAGAATATTCTATGTTCGATTTTGATCCCTCACATGCAAGGGCTTTTTGTTGCCTGGAATTGCATTCTAGGCGGGTCTTTGTTTTGCATTCACTCCACTATGGCGCAGATATGCTGAACACGTACGGAGTATGTTTGTCTATCAACTTAACCTGGGTGTTATTGATCCAAACTTGACATGTGGGCGCAGTTAGCTGGTGCAAGGTTCTAACCCCCTTTTCAAATGGAAGCCAGAGGGCGCCCACGGTAAGCTTATAAAATAGAATGGTGGATCCTTGTCAACTAGGCGTTGGGTAAAACGTACTCCGTACGAAGGGGTAAGGAGGCGGTTTCAGCCTGCTATTTTTGACTTTCAAGAAACATTTGCACCTAGGATGAGGCTGTTTGTACTATTTGGATTACTATATGCACAAATTTGTAATTAATAAACATCAACTATGTAACTAGTTAACTATCAAATCAGTTCATAACAATTACATATCTACGTGGCCTTCTCATGTTGACATATTGATTCATCTCATTTTCAAGTCTGTTTTACAGCTCTTCACGAGACAGACACAAAACAAGAGACTTTGAAAACTAACTAGTTATGTTCCTTCTAATCATAAGTCATAATTGGTATATCCTCGGAAGGGTTCACTTGGACACTCCCCCGGATTAATGCCTTATTCATGCAGCATTGAGCCTCAGAGAAGTAATCCGTGCAAGTATAACCAAGCTTTATGTCTGGAAAAACTGCGGTTGATTTTTTTTCGCGCTTTTCTTGTTACTTATTATATTTTAAACTATTTCTTTTCAATGTAAATATCATGGGACAGTGGGACCTACGAGGGTGTAGGTGTTGAGATGGTGGCTCGGTCACGGGGTAGCTCCTTCCCTCTGGCTTCCTCAATGTTGATGCCATTTCTCGTTAGACCTGGCCATCCATTCATCCTTTTCACCTCCTTTATCACTCCCAGCCATTCATCATGGAGAGCTCTGAAACCCCCCGGCTGCTGCTGCAGCGCCCAGAGAGTTCTGGCATTGATGTTATAGACTTCTCCTTCAGCAAGCCCGCCTCACACAAGCCCTTATACTCGCGAAATCTGAACAAGCAACCTACCATTCCCCATCCTGCAGTTGGTAATGCCCAATCTTCAAGGGAACCAATAGGAGAGGAAGCAGGTCGCAATTATCAACTGCCCTGGCCAGACACGTATGTAGATGACCCAGGCTAACCTTGTAGATGAACATCGCAGTTAACAACGGACTAACGTGTTCTCTTGAGTTCAGCCCACTCAATCCTCGCAACGTTAGGAAGGAAGGAATCCCCAAGCCATCAAGCCCCGCGAGACAATCTGTGTATTCTCGGCCCTCAAGCCGGCTATCAACGGCAGCTGAAACCAACAAAGACAGCGGTAGTCGGCCTACACCAGGAGATCTGGTGAAACAAAGTTTTGGACAAGAAAAGGCGGTGATTGTTGCTCGGCCAAACGAGCCTACCGGGACCCCCAGAAAGACTACTGGCCCTGCAGGAAGGGCCGTTGACACCAGCCAAGAGCGTGTTGTTGATATTGAGAAGACAGGTGAAGCTGATTCTGCCTTACCTGACCCGCCCCAGGTACAACAGCCTCGCAGAGGGAGGCATGGGATTTCGGAGTTCCCATGCTCTCGTGTACCTCTCACGCCTATAAACAGTCAGCTTCAGGCCTCAAAGCGACGCTATGCCCCTGAGAAGGAAGCATCTTCCAAGCAACAGGCACCGCTTGTTGGTGGCAAGAACGGCGTTCAGCTCAGTGAGGATGATCTATTCGAGCTTCTCATCACGAGAATGAGACAGCGAGAGGAAAGCGAGCAAGCAGCTACAGTTATCCAACGGCAAGTCACGGATGAGAATACGGGGTTGAAGGAAGAGAATCTTAATCTGCAGGACCGGCTCAAGAAATGCCAAGGACAGCTCTCCAAAACATCATCCGAGTCAAGATTTCAGTGCGCCCAAATAGACAAATGGAGGGCGAAACTTGGCACATTCAAAGGTGTCCTCAACGAACTCGGTCGTGAATATGGCGTGGTTCGGGAGCAAGCCAGAGAATTGAAAGAAGCCACTATGTCTCTGGACAAAGAGAAAAGCGAGATCCAACACAGTTTAGACGAAATTAGGTTGAAAGTCTCGAACAGTGCAGAAACCATTCAAGATCAACGTGAGAGACTTTCAATTTCCGAGGCAACGGTTGCCGGTCTGAGGGAAGCCTTGGACCATTCCGAGAAAAGAGGTGATTTGGTAAAGACGCAGCTGTCCAACGAGAAAAAGCGGATTGCGACGCTAGAAGCCTACATCCAAAATGAGTCTCAGAGCCAGTCGCGACACTTGGCCCTTGTCAGAAACGACCAGCGCAAGATGGCCGAAAAACTTGACTCTGCCTGTGAGCTGTTCACCACATCTTGTTTCAAATCCCAGGATAATATCCTGT